TCTCTGACTGTGAAATCTGTAAAAAAAATGAAAATTATAGGTATAGAGGTACCGCACCGAATACGGTCGACAAGTAAGTATGAATGAAAATTGAAGTGTAGTCAACCTTTTTTGGAAAACTTACCAAAAACTGTGACAGGACAAGTTAAAGGGATGCTCGTAGAGTGGCGAAAATTATCGGTGACGGTTAAATCTGTAAAAATAATTAAAATTATACGTATAAAGGTACCGCACGGAATACGTTCAAGAAAAGGTATGCATAAAAATGGAACGTTGGTCAAACTTTTTGGAAACACTTACCCGAAATTGTGGCAAGACAACTAAAAGAGAGGGTCGTAGGGGAGCGGCGATGATAGGTGACTGTGAAATCTGTAAAAATAATGAAAATTGTAGTTATAAAGGTACAGAATAGTTGTAGAAAAAATATGCATAAATATTGGACATTAGTGAAGCTTTCTACCAAGACAACTGAAGGAGGGGCTCGTAATAGGGGGATAGTGATCATCGGTTACTGTGAATGCTGTGAAAATAATTAAAATTATCTTGTTGTGTTCATAATTATTACTACTGCAGAGGTAATCATAAGTAAACTATCAAGCGAAGGGAATGCAATTTTCTTAATTCAGTATAAATGACTTAATAGTACATTATTATACACTGCAATGATACAGTATGTTGTGGGTATTTTGGGGATACGAATAAATTGTTTCTCTACAAAACTAAACATACAATTAAATGTAGAAAACAATTACACCCTCCGGGTCAACAAATTTATTCCTAATGATACGATTTTCACTTTACTAAATACAATGTCGTTTATTCAATACCACTATGATGGTATTATACTATTTGAAACATTAGTATTTTCCAAAGAGAGGACGAAATGTTTGTATATTACAAGGAATACAATAATCATGAGTAAAGACCAAGGAACAAAATCGTTCTTATTACATTGATAAACGAAACAGTTCGAAATATTGGAAACATATATTTGTATGTCAAATCTTTCGTTCTGTTAAGAATCAACACATGTCTGTAACGTCTTAAAATTGTTTTAAACGGTTTGTTTGTATCATGGCGTGCTGACGTAAAATTCTTCAGTAAGGGCACTTAATTAAAGTTACGGAAATAATCTGTTCTGTAACAGAATAGTTTTCAGAAATTGCCACATGATGTGTGATAGGAATATGTAAACGATGCCGCAACTATTAATTAAGACATCTAATGTAAACAACATGCAATTTATTTAGTTATTTAAACCAGTAAAAACAATTTACATAGATGTAAATCCCACACAGGTAATCGCAGTTAGCTGTTTTGAAATTGTTTTTTAATTGATTCAACTTCAACATCCATATAGCCATCAACTTCAATATACATATAGCAATTATCTGCGATATTTCGCACAAAGGCCATGTAAGGTGTGTTTGTAAGTTATATCCAAATTTTTACATACGTATAACACACACACATACACTTTCATCCAATTAAAAAACAAAGATGTGAGATAATTGTAACCATACATAATTACAAGAGAACACATTCGGAAACATTATGTTAGTATTTTATGCGATTATCTGCAAATAATATCAATACTTTGCAGTAGAAATAACGCACTGACTTTTTAAAACAAACAAATGCGTAACGCAACTGTGCAATAAATAGTACGTTTTGTAAAGTGACAGAGAAACATATACATTACAGTGATCGGTAAAAATTGCATTTGTTCCGACTTAAAAGCTTCATTTTGATGGAACGCGAAGGAAGAAAGAAAATTGCGCTACAAATAACAAGACAAGGAAGACGATTGAAGTTAACTTTTCTGTAAAATCATGTTTTTGTGGAAATTTCCCATTAAATATGCCATAGTTATAATTCTTTGCCAATTGGATTTTATAAACAATAATGTATTATTATTATCCTCATTTTAATCAGTAAACTTTAACTAATTTTCCAACTAAAATCCCTATCCCTATGTTAGCGTACTTCATTAGGTGTATATTACACAAACAAGTGTACAATCATGGAAAGAAAATTATTGAATATTTATATTTATAATTTCGTCATTTGCATATTTACGAATGTTGTTTTCTATATTGTAATTATTTCTGCAACAAAATTAGAAATGTAATTCATTTACAGGATGTATGTCAACAGTACACGAAAACTTTCTTTCGGTACGGTGTTATTTGTACTTTGTCAAGTTACCGGATTAGTAGTTTGCATGAGGAGATTATTCACTCTTTTTTTGTCAAGTGAATTTAATGAAACTTCATTTTGCAAGCACATGTCATTTAGTTCCATTGTATAATTGAGTACAAGAAAAATAAATCACTGTCGACCAATCAGTTATGTACGTATAATTTTCTTTCTTTCAAATCCAAGTTCAAATTCGCACTACAACGGAAGCAAGGTCACGCGCAAGCGAAACGAAATGTACATGTCGGTACTTCATAAATAAATAAACTGCTTCCGATAACGATGTCTATTTTGTAGAATGTAGATTATACTATTAATACCTACCACAGTCAAAACATTCGTTAAGTTATTAGTCGTTATTGAAATACTTTTCCTTATTCAATTTAGCATTACACATACGCCATATATTGTTATTATAATATACAAACACATCATACGTGTATGTTGGACATCTCATACAAAAAACAAAACTATTTCAATTTTTCTTCAATGAACAACGTTTCTGATAAAAGCATAATACCAACAAATATAGCATAAGTCTAAATTGCATTTTACGCTTTTTCGACAAGGCAATTACAATTTTTTCAATTACTGTTGAACCGTACAATTTATGTACTACTTCTTTTCTTCTCATGTAATTAGATGTTAAAACAATATTCATTTCTTCCTTTTCATATTCGACTGTTACAGAAAATATTGAATGCAACTTTTACTGGTGTTTCGATAACTTCCATTTTGTCAACAATTGTAGTGTACATATTTAAAAGAAACTCGTATATCAATAACAATTGCTAGATTGGAGCATTTACCTAACAAGTATGAGTTCAATTCTACTTTGCAGTATAAGATATTAACAATGTTCCATCAGCCTTCCTTCTGACTTTGCCCATTTTATGTTTATAATGCAAAAAATGTATGAGACTACTAACACATTTTTCTCGGTATCGTCTATCGAGTTGTACCGATTTTGTTTTATTTTTTTCTTTAGAAATGACCTTAACATAAGAAACGAAAGTGCCCGCTTATTTACTTTTGCATAACTTCATTTTGTTCATAAACACACTTTTAATAAGATAACAGCATAATAGGTACCTATACATATGTGATATTATGTGATTTATTTGTTTTCGGGTAATTATCAGGTAGCTTTATCTGTTATCGTTTTTAAGTTTTTAAAGAGATACCTAGGTACCTCATCGAAAATTTGAAAGGTGCCAAACAAATAAAGTTGGCGAATCTTTAGAAAAAACATATACATTTCAACGTTGCCGAAGCAGGCCTTTTATCTTTATCTTTTCATATATGTACACACATGCACTTGTAGGTACAGTACGTATGTATATATGTATGTATATATTATATGCATAATATTTTTTTACTGTATTTGCTCCTCACGTAAACAGTATTCTGTACTTCCACCGTCCTTACTTTTTGTAAATGGACAACACGTTTGTCTATTTTTTCACATATTCTACCACTATTTATGCATGCACCACTTGTTCATAACATTTCATTTTTTGTACTTCTTTACTTACCTTTTTCAAAAATTCTTTCCTGCTTTCTTCTTATGAATGACAAATGATAACAACCAACTTTACATTTTCATATTTTTCAAATACTCTCATTGATAACTACAGACAATTTCTATTTTTCTCTTTACGCGCTTCGCGGTCACGGACGCGACATTTGAACGTTTACACGTGGTATTTCCCGATTTCTTCTCCAATGAAAAGCATTACAAATAAGTATTATTATCGTTACCAATTTTAATAAAAAAATTTTTTGAACGTAGACAACCCTAATCACTGCAGTGCAAATAAAAATAATGATAATATTTTTTATGATCGTAATGCTGTTTTTCATATGCAACCCATTTTACAAAATCTTTAACCGCTGCAACACCGCCATCTGCCAGGTGTAGTCACTACTATTTTGACAGGAGGAGTTAACACCGCATGGATAAAACCATCGACGTTTACTAATGGACATGCCTTAGCGGTCAGAATTGCGGTACAACAAAAGAAAGAGATGGAACGAAGTTTCGGACAATATCCATCTCTCTCACGATAGTGCGTAAGCGTGTCATGAAAGAAATAGCATTAGTTCGAAACTGGTTCGAAACCATACGCCATCTTCCTCACTTTTCGAGCCAAGAAATTATTACAACGACATACGGCTATGGCACGTCCACATTGAAGTGGAGGGGATCTGTAGTCTAGTTCAATGAACGTCCATCAGTAGACGTCGATGATACAAACTACTTTCGCCACCATAGATATTAGTCACTACGGAGTACATCATGAGACCATGAGTACACTTGTCTATGGGAGTAGACAACTGTCGTGATTATGGTCATGAATGCAGCACTTCAGCTGTATTAAATAAAGAAGTTATTCCTGAATCAAATAGAAAATCTTGCTCTTTCCCGTAAGTGTACTATGCTATCTCAATTATCAATAACTGGAGAATATAAGTGACAATAAGCAATTGTTATTTATATTATCCTAAAGATTGGTATGTATCATGTCAATAATCATCAACATACAAGCAGATGGATATAAGCATGGTGTCTTAGAAAGAATGGTGTAAAGTCTATCAAGCAATTATAAAGAAAGAAGAATGCCAAGATGATGTCAAGTTTACAACGTCAATCCATTTCTACGCATACTAATATAAAATAGAAATGAGTATACTGTCTACTTCATCAGTCGGTTGGTTAATATCCCACGAGTCCTACATTAACAAAATTTATGATACAGTAACTATTCAAGATAAAATAAAAAAATACAAAATCAATCCCAAACTATTTAAAATTGAAAATGGTTTTACAAAAAAATCAGCAAAAATTTCAGTTTCAAGTGATAATTCATTTGTTGTTCAAAATTTTGAAGATGTGTTGGATCCAAACGAAGTGAAGAAATTGTTTAATATATTTAAAGAAGAAACGAAATTCAGTAATATTTTTTCAGATAAATCGTCAGTTACAAGAAATAACGTGGAAGCAACAGATTCAGCTGAGCAAATTTATAAAAATTCAGGAAAAATATTGAATAAAGTTTTTGGTAAAAATGTGAGGAGTGATGCTATTGTTGCTTCTTTTAACAATGACTATTATTTGTTTCCTCCCAACTGTGAATTTTTTTCTAAAGACATATGTGAGTTACCATCAGTAATTGGAGATAGAGTGTATGATTTAATTTTATTGGATCCTCCATGGTGGAATAAATACATAAGAAGAAAAAGATCAAAAAACAAAAAGGCTGCATATACTATGATATATAATGAAGATTTGAAAAAGCTTCCTTTAGAGAATATGATTAGTGATCATGGGATTGTTGTAGTATGGTGCACTAATTCGAATAAACATCAAACTGCATTGTTGAATGATATTTTCATGAAGTGGCAAGTTAAATTTTACACAAAGTGGTACTGGATAAAAATTACATGTTCTGGTGCCCCGATTTGCTCTTTTTCAAAGCCTCCAAGAAAACAACCCTTTGAGCAAATTTTTATAGCAACTAAATGTGCATCATTGAAGATTCCTAAATCAAAAATTATTGTTAGTGTACCAAGTGCTTTGCATTCTCACAAACCACCTCTTGAAGAGATTTTAAAGGAATTTCTTCCAAATCAACCAAAATGTTTAGAAGTGTTTGCCAGATATTTATTACCCAAATGGACTAGTTGGGGTTTAGAAGTGTTACGATTTCAACATAATAGTCTTTACATCACAGACTAAAAAATTTTGTGATAGTAATATGAAGAGAATAGAAAATTATTCATAAGTATTACTTACCTGTTTTTTGAAATACACATCCAATACTTTTTCGTTTTAAACTAAACCGATTTTAAATTCGCTTCCGGGGTGTACTGCTACCGGAGTTAATAGCGAGAGCGGCATATTTTCTTTCCTGAAGCCCGCATACAGTTTTTTTTTTATCATACCCCTTCCCTGAAAGTACTATTTTTTCTAATTCTAGGGACGAAAAAGTGTAACTTTTCAGGTATGAAATCGCAATTATTTTAGTAGGGAAGTAGTTTAACATCCTCTGCAGAGGATGGTACGATCCTTTACTAAAACGGGAGTGAATGCGATTTCTTACCCGCAAGGGAATCTTGCACTTTATTCTTTGAAATCAGGGGAAAATATTTAGGCGTGTAGTAGAAAATTTTATATGGGCCTCAGGAGGAATGCACTTCCTCTCTGGAGTTTGCTCTCCCTCCTTCTGCTCAAGTGTTAATTCATACCCGGCAGGGGATGCCGCACTTTCTTCCTGCGGTGCCTAACGTATACCACTGTGAATTTTAAATAATTTCAGATTAGAGCATGAATGTTAAAAGCAATTGATATGAATCTTCTAAATATCAACTGCATTTTTGGATGCTTTTCATTGTAATTGGATTATTGTCTTTCTGTCTTGGTCGTCACTTATGTAAGGGTATTTCCGATTTTCATATCTGATCGTGAGCCAACATTTATATATAATGAAAATTAAAATTGATAATTGGTCTTGTAATGATTACTTTTTTGTTATCAATTTTATTACGTTGATTTCCTTTAAATATTTTTTTTTTCAAAAAAAAAAGAATAGACTAATCGATTATTATGTGGAAGTACAAACATATAAATAATTCATGTATACATATTTAAACGAAGGCTACGTGAATATTTAAACTCAAACAAAAAATATCTAGTGGAAGAGCCAAGCATTCAATGAAATAGGTTACTAAGAAATAATTACAGAAATTACAAGAAAAGGCTTTCTTTCAGATAACAATAAAATTTTTGTGGGTATAGCCTTTTTTTTATAACAAAAAACCAGACATTACAGATAGGGATTAAAGTAATTGCTCAATATTAGTATTTTCAAATTAAGAATGTTAATTTAAAGTTAATGGTATTTTCAGAATGTTTGACTTCAAATCCATTGAAACAATGGTTATGAGAATACTTAAAAATGTTAAAAGAAAATTTACAAGAAAGTTCAAAGCTATAGATTTAAATAAAATATAAACATTCTCCCTTATTTATTGTTAGTATTTTTACAAACTTAAAAAAAAAATACATAACTATCTGTAATAAAAGTAAACACTGTTGAACAAAAAAGTAACGAATTTCATTTTGGCTTTGAAATTTCTTGAATGTACCAATAGGGCAAAATAGTATACATATTGTTGTCGACTTTTTCATAAAATATTTGCTTTGTCCTATTATTATAAGTAAACTTCCACACTATATTATAATCATCGCAATTTTTTAGAGTGTCTTTTACTAAACAAAGAAATTCATACAAAAANTCTTTGAAATCAGGGGAAAATATTTAGGCGTGTAGTAGAAAATTTTATATGGGCCTCAGGAGGAATGCACTTCCTCTCTGGAGTTTGCTCTCCCTCCTTCTGCTCAAGTGTTAATTCATACCCGGCAGGGGATGCCGCACTTTCTTCCTGCGGTGCCTAACGTATACCACTGTGAATTTTAAATAATTTCAGATTAGAGCATGAATGTTAAAAGCAATTGATATGAATCTTCTAAATATCAACTGCATTTTTGGATGCTTTTCATTGTAATTGGATTATTGTCTTTCTGTCTTGGTCGTCACTTATGTAAGGGTATTTCCGATTTTCATATCTGATCGTGAGCCAACATTTATATATAATGAAAATTAAAATTGATAATTGGTCTTGTAATGATTACTTTTTTGTTATCAATTTTATTACGTTGATTTCCTTTAAATATTTTTTTTTTCAAAAAAAAAAGAATAGACTAATCGATTATTATGTGGAAGTACAAACATATAAATAATTCATGTATACATATTTAAACGAAGGCTACGTGAATATTTAAACTCAAACAAAAAATATCTAGTGGAAGAGCCAAGCATTCAATGAAATAGGTTACTAAGAAATAATTACAGAAATTACAAGAAAAGGCTTTCTTTCAGATAACAATAAAATTTTTGTGGGTATAGCCTTTTTTTTATAACAAAAAACCAGACATTACAGATAGGGATTAAAGTAATTGCTCAATATTAGTATTTTCAAATTAAGAATGTTAATTTAAAGTTAATGGTATTTTCAGAATGTTTGACTTCAAATCCATTGAAACAATGGTTATGAGAATACTTAAAAATGTTAAAAGAAAATTTACAAGAAAGTTCAAAGCTATAGATTTAAATAAAATATAAACATTCTCCCTTATTTATTGTTAGTATTTTTACAAACTTAAAAAAAAAATACATAACTATCTGTAATAAAAGTAAACACTGTTGAACAAAAAAGTAACGAATTTCATTTTGGCTTTGAAATTTCTTGAATGTACCAATAGGGCAAAATAGTATACATATTGTTGTCGACTTTTTCATAAAATATTTGCTTTGTCCTATTATTATAAGTAAACTTCCACACTATATTATAATCATCGCAATTTTTTAGAGTGTCTTTTACTAAACAAAGAAATTCATACAAAAATTTTAAACATACTTCTTTTTGCAAAAGCGTTCACAAGTTTTAGGAATGTCTGAAACTTGCAAAGGTAAGATTTTCTTCAAAATTCCAGAATCTGATCGATACCCTACCATGATAGTTTTTATTCCAACTAAAAAAGATTGAGTCCAAAATTTTAACAGTTTGTGCTTTTGAAAACTAAATTGTTGCTGCTGATTATCTATAAGTCTATTTGTTTTTAATTCAACAAAATTGGCATTGGTTAAAAAACTTTTTGAAGAGTGAGTAATATCACTTATTATTCCATCTACTTCAGCTCCATACAATAGTTTAAAATCATTTAAAAATGATTCAAAAACAACACAAAATTCTTCACACTCATTCACAGGCTCATTTTTATTGATATTATTATGTGGTGAATTAGAAAGTGTGTATTGTTCAAATTTATGGCCATAGTAATTGAAAAGTTCTGCTTTCTCAAAAGAATACTCGCACTTATCAAATTCACACAAGTAAATTGCTCCTTTCCACCTTACAGCGCATACTGTCCAGGATTGTTTTTCATATGGCGTCCTCATTAAAAGCGATAACAGTCCTCGGAAACAAATGAAATCAACATCTAATGTTTTACTACTGAAGTAATTTATACATAATTGCTTTTTCAGAACGAACTCTAATAAATGTTTTAGACCTTCATGTTTTGCAGTATCGGGCTTCTTAATAAACGATTTAAAACCATCATTTAAATCCAATGGAAGTTCAGGATAAATGAAGTATCTTAAACAGTTCAAGTCATTGTCCATCAATTTTCTATTTTTATCGACTGAGAAGCATTCTAGTGGTCTAGGAGTTGAAAGAGAAACAGAAACTTCTTTTTTATAAAGCAAAGTTTCAAGATTTTCCATAATTAATTATGTTTTTGTTGATGCAGTCATACTAATCAAAAATACACCCCTAGACTAGGTAAATAGATGTAAAACTCTCGAGATTTGGACGCTAGTAGTGACATCTAAGTTTACCCCACATTAGTAGACGATACTTGGAATATATATATAAATGGTATTGCCAAAGAAAACTTCGAATTTCACTGCCATCTTTACATCAAACTATGAAAGGTAACCAAAGGCGCGCATTTCAAAATTAC